CTCCGAAACATTCTTTAAAACCTTACTGAGAAAAAGTAGAATAAAATGCCAACGTAGATGTGCTAGGCTAAGCTAGAATTTAATCATTTACCCAAGAATCAAAATTAAGACTTGCTGAACTTGAAAAAGCTTGCTTTGCCATTTAGATTTTAACAATGGACTGCTGAGTAACACGTAAAACAATGAACTTACAGGGTTGACATTTTTAGCTGCTGACAAGTTTGGAAGGTACTCTTACTGAAGAACTGGTATTTCATAAGAAAGTAACTGGAAGTATCTTAAGGACTAAAATGACAGAAACAGTATAGTATTATTAAAAAAAAAGCATGACTTTACAGGGCCCAGAGTAGAATTCTACATACTGTAGACTTCATAACTTCAACAGAAAGAAACTGGAGAACAACTAAGACTATTTATGAAAAGAGGCAGAAAGAGCCTTGGATCCACTCAGACAAGTACAGGTGCTACTGTACCAGTATTTACACTGGCCTGTATTTCACAGAAAGTCCAGTTATGAAAGGAGAAGAGAGACTAGTTCTGTGGTCTCACACGTCCTGAGAGAACACAAGAGCTTTAGTTGGTAAGGTTGCCAAGAGAGGCAGATGACTGAAAGGTGCTCTGGAATAAAGAGCAAAAATAAGGGGTTGCAAGGAAGAAAAAGCTTTTAGAATAAAGGGATATAAAAAGCTACAGCTTTCCCATCATGCTTGAACCTAAATTCTATTGTTTCCTCAATAGAATTCCTAATTTTGCCACAAGATAGATCATGATCATTAAGATAAAAACATGCTTGAATTCCTTTAATAGTAACCTAAAATAAACATTTTTCATCTTATGCTTTATAAAATAAACACTTGTATTACAAAAAGTCAAGTCTTTACTTAGGCCTGCCAGTCTTCATCTTTACAGCTAACAATGCATTTTGTGGGTCATATGCTACACATAATGGCATTCTCCTGAAGCACAGTCTTTTAAAATTTTTCCCCCCAATGTTGCATTATGCTTCAAAAATGCAAGTGCAAAAGTTGAGTCTTAAACCTTAAAGCCTGTTAAGAACTGAAACACTAGGCCTGGCTTCCTACACTGCTCTAGATAGACTCTTCCATTCTTTTGTAATTTCATGGAATCATAGAACAGTCCAGGTTTGAAGGGACCCTGAAAGAACATCTGGTCTGACCCTTTATGGGGAAGGTGAGCCTAGATGAGATTACCAAACACACTGTTCAATCGTACCTTGAAAAACCTCCAGCACTGGGGACTCTACCACATCCCTGGGGAGGTCATGTCACCTGTAATAAAGGCGACCTGCCTATCATCTACATGAAGTTGTATTGCTGAAGGTATGCTTTGTTGCACTTTGTCCTAGTGAGAATTTTACACAAGGGCATGCTCCCCCCTAAAAAAAGTTCAAATCCATAAACTATTAAATTCCTTCTTAGGTGGAAAGCAGCACAAAATTCCTAACCTCTCCATGAAACCCTGAAGTATTTCTTCATGTCAGAATTTATATTAGAAACAAAACAATTTTGAAATTATAGATTTATATTTTACTTATATTCAAAGTCGGAAATAACATTCCTTGTAACAGTTCAATGTTTATAATGATACAATGAGAGGTAACTATTGCAAAATGATTAACAGTTGACTTTAAATGAGCATGTGTTAAACTTGCAGACATTATATTCCTGTAAATTAACATCTTTTCAGGCATTTAATTGCAATATCAATGGTACATTTAAACAGGTAGCTCCAGAAAGGAACATTTAGATTTTTCCTTCTGTATAAAGTTCAATTACCAAAAATATAAAAATCCTAAAGTAATTTGAAATACATGAGAGGAAGAAGTGCTATGGCAGAAGTTTAATATTTTTATCTGTGGAGTAAGTTGTAACTTTCAAGAATTTGGTGCATTTTTAGGCACTGTTTTTGTATTTTTATTTGCCTGAATTGTACAGCAGGACTTGAGATGCCCAAAAACTGTTCAAAATAAATTTAAGGCAACCAAGTGCAAAAGCTCAGTGTACATTAGATGTATGTAAACAGAACATTTCATAGTAGAAATTGTACAACTATTACAAGTCCATAGTATTGACAAAGGCCAAAACCATTCTGCCTAGAGACACAAATGCAAAATGTAGTTACACTAATCAAGCCAAAAATTACAAATTCCTGGAAATAAAATATCATCTTCTCTAACACAAGGCAGATACATTACATTGCTGTGCTAGAATAAGTGCTCTGCATTCCTCCCCCCTACATAACATGCAGTCTCCCACAGGTTTGTTCTGTTCCATTTAGTTATGTACCAGCCAACAAGAGAGCTCCAAGTGTTAAAGCAAAATGCACAACACAGCAGAGATGGAATGTGAATGTACAGATATTGGACCTTTTAAAAAAATACAGTACCTAGGATTACCATTTTAAATGGTTTTCAGCATATTGCATAGCAGTGAACTCATCTGCTACTTAAAACTGTTGCTGTTGACCCACATGGAGTTCCTCTTCAATTCTTCTTTCAGTTTTCTTTCATACTGTACAGTGGGTCCACAAGCTTATTGTGCACATGCATTAAACCTTGGGGGGGAAAGCAACAATGCCAGCTTTACATTAGTTATACTTTTTCAACATGTCCTTCTATCCACATTTTTATTTGGAGTTTGCTTCAAAGTATACATTTTAAATAATTCACTGAAGAGAATAACAATGGCAATTTAAAGTAGTTTAAAATAAGGTGTTAAAGACAGCATATATATTCCTGTATCACTTGAATACTAATGACATCTTCAGTATAAAGTGAGCAGGGATGAGATAGTTCTCTGATAACAGACCTGCCAAAAAGTAGAACTGGAATACTTCCAAATAAATTGAATACAAGAGATTCACTCATCTTTCTTTTGTATTAAAAACTGCAGAACAGCAACGTAAAATTCCATTATACTACAATTTGTCATAAAAATCAGATATACATAATCTGATACTTTTATAGGTTGAATTGCAATGTTCTAGTATTGTGGTATCTCTGTCTTTGTAATTAATAGCATGCTTGTGGTCCTGAACAGGCAAAACCAAACTAAAAAGTATGCGGACTGTTAATGCAGATTCAGAACTTCAGTAGTTCAACTGTGTTCTTTTCTAGCTGGGCTTTTTTGGGCCATAAGTCATCCATAGCTGTGATTAGAGGAGTATTTCTTTTCCTATTCAGATACTTTAATTTTCAAAAGTGCTGAAGAGACATGCAATTAAAAAAAAAAAAAAAGAGTGCTTCTTTACTTTGTTACAACTTAGTAAAAATGTTACCTACATCTAGGTATGTATGACATTTGGTCACTGGTCTGTTTTTAACCTCATTTCACCTTACAGACTAATAACAGTAACTGATCAGTGTTCACGATCTACAAATTAAGTCTGTTTTAGCACCAAACTGAAGATTAACTTCTGAAATTACAAATTTAAGTAATATGCAACATTAAAAGTAGTGAAATTTTCTCAAACACCATGAAAGAAGTCTGACAGTAGTGCTCATTTTAGTGATTATCTATGGCGAAGAATATTCAAATACCTTTGCTACATGATGCATCTGGTGGAAAACTTAGTGTCACTGCAGCAACACGAAATTTGAGTACCTATACAATGTGAGGTCATTACTGTAGGTGACCACAACAAAAGGCATTTTATGCAGCATCTATTTCTAATCAGTGTGTGACTATTTAATATAAAATGCAGATTTTACTACTTCCTTCTCCACTTAGTGACACATTCAGCCATACTAAACAGCCAACACACCTAGAACTGACTCAAGAACCCAGCTCATTTTGTCTCTAGAGGTAATGACTTAGCTTCAGATATTTGTGCAAAAAACCCAAACCTTAGAAGGCAACATAACTAAAAAAACCAGTTTCTTAGATTTAATGAAGGGTAACTAGTGGGTTGATGTACATGTCTAATATTTTGGGGATTTAAAAGTGAAAAATATTACATATACATTTGATACAGAAGCCCTTTGTACTGAAAGGGTTAACAGCTGCGCACACTGCTCAACTAGAACCATGTTTTGAATTTTAAAGCATTTCACTTCTTACCAGTGTTGTTCTATTCTAAAAAAGGGAAATGAAAAGCAAATAATTACCCACTTCCTAGACACATGAAAAAATGCTTACATAGTATTGCCACTGCTGTATTTAATGAGGGATATTTAAATCCTGTTAGTGAAATTGTTTCAGGAAAAACAATTAGAAACAAGAGGTTTTTCTAAAGGTATGCACAAGAGTCCTTACTCGACAGATGCCAGAACAATTATTTCAAAGGAAAGTCTCACTGTATATTCAAGTATGCTTTGAATAAACAGATTTCTGCATTCAGTTTTAAGAAGAGCATGCACAAGTATGGAAAAAGCTATCCTGAATTTCCTTATCTGCAGACTAATTAGTAAATTCAAAAGTAATCTTCTGCTTCATTCTGCAAGAAAGTTACCTTTCCCTTTTCCAGTAAGAACATTAAGTACACTTGATAATTTTAGCCTCTGATAGGTTTTCAGAAAGTTAGGAAAAAAAGTAAAGGGGAGTAGGCCTTATTCTATTTACCAGCCAGTATGTTCCTTGATTATCAAAAAATCTGAAGTTTCATATAGTACCTTGAAAATTTTTAAATGGTGAAAAATCTCAATAAATGGCTACCATAATTAGCAGTATTAAGAACTATCTAGCTTCCTAAGAAGTCTAACCTGAAGATCAAGATTCAGAAGTAATTCCAAATTTGACCCACACTGATTTCTCCTTCATCTTAAAAGGGAAAAATCTCACTGATTTGAGATTAGGTAAAATTAAGGAAGTAAACAACCTTTTTAAGAATTCTATTGCTCTGTATTACAGGGTAATTAAATACAGTGTGACACAATAGCACACATTCATGTACTGTAGCCCTTGATGGTTTTTAAAGCAATGTTCAGTGTCATTCATACCTAGTAATTCTACATTAGGTTTATATCTTTGCCAACCAAAGCTTTTTTTTTTATATGAAATACAGGATAATGTTTAAAATTTATCCAAGCAGTTAAAGAAGTTTAACAATAATAAGTACTATCTAGCAGTGTGATACAGGTAAATACTAACACACCACACACACTCCCCCCCCATACATAGCAGAGGAGGAGAGCATACTGAAAAAATCCAAAGTTAACAAGTTGGCCACAAGTGGTATCAGGATAAAAATCACATTAGCGCCAGAATTGCAATCTAATACATATATGGATGCTGATAAAATAATGCTCTAAAAAATAATTTCACAAATTACAATCTTGCTCTCAGATGCCTCAACTACTACAGGTATCCATGCTACTAAGATAGATAACTGATTTACACAATTGCATTTGCTGTGCTAATATAGTTCAGAAAAACACTACTTCTCAGCTTCTACAGTCTCAGTGAAACAGAATTCACATGTAAGAAGTCTCAATGACTATCAAAAATCCCAACTTACTTGAAGTTTGCCTCAGTATACCAACTACAACTATAAAAAGCACAGTAAAAGGGTGCCATGTACTCAAAGTCAATATAGATTGTTATGCTAATTGCACTGTACAAAAACCACAGTGGCTTCAAAGCCTGTATCACACATTTCAAATTTACTAGACAGCACATTACAGCACATAGCAAAAGCAGCATGAAAATATATCAGGATTAATAAATTTATCAAGTTTTCTTTAGGTGAAACTTTCCAGTATATTTAAGATCAGTATTCTGGAACACCAGACTGCGACTGTTTTACATACAGTTGAAGATTACTAAACTATCATTTCACATCGGAAGCAAAGAAAATATTTTTCCAAAGTAGATTTGTCAGGAATGTGAGGAACACAAGTTATGCCTCCTAGCACTTCTCCATTGACAAGAAATAAGTTAACATTTAGTATTTTGAATATATAACATTATACATTAGCTACTGTAAAGTGTTGGAAGGCTCAGACTTAAATCAATATAATTTATTTTTTTTAAAAAAATGTGTAACCTCTGATTCAGTGCTCACCTTTAAAGTACTTCACAGTTTTAACTCTTAGTTCTAAAGTAGCATCTTCATCACACACAAAGATAGTACGAGGGTGTTGTTGGAAAGCAGAAACTGTCCACATATGATTGACTCCTTCTTCAATTGCTTTGTACAATGCAAAAGCCTTATGCGCACCTGTTATAAGAATCATCACCTGCAAGACAAAGGTCTCTTTACTTCCAATCCCAGTATCAATACCAACTAGTTTTGAAAACAGACACATGCAACTAGAACTAAATGAGTTCTTACTTCTCTAGCATCCATCACTGTACCCACACCAACTGTTAGCGCCATAGTTGGTACTTTAGATAAGTCTCCATCAAAGTATTTGGCATTTGCCAAAATGGTGTCCATTGCTAAAGTCTTTAATCTTGTTCTTGAAGACAAACTTGATCCGGGTTCATTGAATGCAATGTGGCCATCTGGACCAATGCCTTTTCAAAGTTAAAAAAAGTATATCATTCCAGACCTGTAAGTCAACAAATATCCTCAAACATTCTAAATCAATAAAAAAGTTTTAAGGACTCATTCTTTCATTTTGGTTCCCTATTTTCAATTAAAAAAACAATAAAAACTTACTTGAAATTCAGTTATTAGAAACTTGGACACCAACCATTATGTTTTAGTATTCACACTGATTCTTTGTTAGTCACAGAACTTTCTTATACCATAACTGAAAAAACTAGGTTTAGCTATCGTTATGAAAACGGCAATTAAAGAGTCAGTGTATTTGTTTAAATTGTAACTAACTACAGAGTATTTCCTCATACCTCCAACAAACAGATCAATCCCCCCGGCTTCTTCAATTTTCTTTTCAAATGCATCACATTCCGCCTGTAAGTCTGGAGCATTCCCATCAAGGATATGAGCATTATTTGGATCTATGTCAATATGTTTAAAGAAGTTATTCCACATATAGGAATGATAGCTCTCTGGATGATTTCTGGGAAGCCCTGAAATCATTTAGAGTGAAATTAACATATTACAAGATTAAACAGCCTTAATTCTAGTCTATGTGTAACCAATGTAGGCCATGCAAGGCAAACCTAAATAAGTCAGATAAAGCAGTATTTGAAATGATATTGAGAAGAAAGATTTCCTGTTAGCACGCACAAGGTAATTGGTTTACATTCCCTTCACATACATCTTATCACAAAGAGTGTAAAGTCTTCAAAAGAAGCAGAGTCATATGTGACAACATACCTTCTACAGAGTATTGTGAAGCACTGAATTTTGCCCAGGATCCACCTGTTTATTACTTGCATTTTTGTAGATAAAGGAATAGAGAAAAATGCTTAAAATGACCCCACAGACAGAAGTCTAATGTAGAAGTACAAACATACTGACTGACCTTGAGATTTGAGAAAGTATTTAACAATTTTAATAATGGAAAAAATTATCAGTATAGTGTGTTCTTAAATAATTAGCACATCTTACCTACATATTCATCCATGTTGAAAGTCTTTACATATTTGAAAGACAGATCTCCATTCTTGTGATATTCTATCAGCTTTCTGTAGCATCCCAAAGGTGTACTCCCTGTTAAATAAAGTTTTTCTATTGTTCTATGTATCCACATGACATTTTCAGTGTATTTAAATATCTTCATAGTAAAATTTTGCTACAATGCTTTTCAATATAAAAGAAATCTATTATTTCTCATTTAGTATTTTTCAGCTTCTCAAACTTTATCACAACTTTTTACAGAAATCAAATTCATATTTAAACGAAATATACTGGCGTATTACTGAAAATATCTTTATGTTCTTTTAAATACTGTATCTGTTAGCAATGATACAAACATAGTTCTAGGTTTAGTCATTTACATAGGCTTTGAATAACACTTACCTGTTGGTAGACCAAGAGTGAAATATCGTCCTTGATTTGGCTTGAATTGGATAATACGATTACAGATGTATTTTGCTGCCCATTCACTAGCTTGATCATAATCTTCAAGAATTACTAGCCTCATTTTGGCAGTGAGGAACTTGTATGATAAAATAAACTTAAACCTGGAGAAAATGTCAACTTTTTAAAAATAAGCATCATATGAAAAGTTGTAAAATTCTTAGATCACAAAAGAGATAAAAAATGACCTTTTATACTGAAGAATTACAGTGCTAAATAAAGGGTATTTTACTTGCATAAGCATATTGCACTCTTGCAGTCCTAGTTCAAGCTGGACTGTTGGACAATCAAAAGAAAAGCTACAGAATCCAAGTGACAGATTACAGTCAAAATATTTATTAAAATTCAGACTAGCTTAAGGTAACTTTGAGGAAAAAGCTAAAACAAAATGAGAAGAAGCCATTTTGAACTTCAATCTTTCAATTAGTTGTTATTGTTAGAAAAGAGGAAATACTCTGCTTGAAATAAAAGCAAACAAATAAGTAAACAAACACTGAGATTAAGTCCCATTTCTTATGACCAGCTGAATGTCTAAAATTTCGAAAACAAGGTCCAAAATAGCCCCATGCTTCTACATTCAAAATACATCATTAGAAGTAAACAACTAAAACTTTCACTCACATTCTAGCTCTATAACAATGCTTCAGTAAGCTTATTAGTCTAAAAAAAATTAAAGCATTAGAGATATTTGAAATCTCTACAATTCCCAGGAAAAAATACCTGAGGTTACATTTCTTCTTTTCAACATAACTTTAAACAGAAGTCAGTTAGTCTTTAAAGCGTCTGATTTTGAGTACCACTATATAAACTTTTAAGATTAATATCTAGAAAACAAGCTTGGGTGTTAAAAGTACAAAAGCATGGCTTGCATTTAAGTGAAATTCATTTTTCCATGAGTTTCTGCTTTACAGAGTCAGGTAATTACCAGAAAGACTGAAGCTCTTTAGCTAGTTTGCAATGTACTACTCTTCTCTTCCCAGGTCTGAGTGTGCTTGGCATTAGCCAGAAAACAACACAGCTGTGAGAAGACCAATTAAGTGCCAAATCACCACTCGCACACACCACTCTTCGATGACCGAAAATGAGAAGCCAGTTTTAGAAGAAATATAAGTTATACTACCGTATTGCTGTACCGGGTAACATCTGCTCGTCCCACTAAACAAGGCAGGAAGTGAGCACCACCACCTTCTGATGACGATGCTGCTTCCTCTCCCTGGACAGCACAGCCATGACAAGTCAAACTCACCTCTGCAGAGCAAACGCTATTCCACAGGTACCGAAAAAGTTAACACTTACGTTTCCTCGAGGAGGACAGAAAAACAGGCCACCAGAAAGAGATCCCACGGCTTTAGGGCGGCTTCATAAAGCTTTAACGATTTTACCCTGAGAACATGGTGATGCTCTCCAAAAGGAACGACCCGCGAACGGCACCAGAACGACCGCGGATCTTCGGCTGAAGGTTTTTTTTTCCGGGGGATTGGTGAATCTACACTGTCAGAGGAAAAGACCTACTGCCGGACCGCCCCCACC